GTACAGTTGTACAGTGAGTGAGTTTAGTTTTACGCCGCACTCAGAAATATTCACCCTATATGGTGGCCGTCTGTAAATAATCGAGTCTGGACCAGACAATCCAGTGATCAACAGCATGAGCATCGATCTACGCAATTGGGATACGATGACATGTGTCTACCAAGCCAGCGAACCTGATCACCCGATCCCGTTAGTCGCCTCTTACGACAAGCATGGGTTACTGAAGATCAATTCTAGCCCGGATCTTCACGGGTGCAGTAGCACAGAATGACGGTACTTCGGAATATATGATTCTGGGTTCGAATCCCGACTCGCTCAGATTTTGTTTCCAGGTTTGTTAGCACCATGCTCGTGGGTTTCACTAAAGTGGTAACCGTGTGAGACCTGCATCACTTCGGGCATTTGTCCCACATTAAGCAGACCCACCAGGAAATATAACTGGGTCTGGAACATTCTCCACATAGCAACCTTCAAATTCACTCAATCACGTTTGCGTAGCGTTGAAAGGTTGGTCTCAAGACTTGCAGAAGTTAGTGGCTGTGCAACCTGAGCTGATGCTCTTGCCTTGGATACATTTGCAGAATTACTCTGAACAAATGCCAATGAAAACAGTTCTATTCTAAACAGAAGAGTGCATCTAAAGTAACAGAACTAGCTGGGGAATTAAATCTATAGTTCTTTATACAATACTCTGCCTGACAAAGATTAAACTCTGCCTGTTGTCGACACAAGAAGTCGTGGTCTGATGGTATACGCCGTCCCTGGACATCTGGGTCATAGACTTCAGGCACTCAGACGTTCTTAGCCAACTGTGCAGGTGCATTCATTGTATGAACTTAAGTGTTACCCGTAATCCCCTTATTTCTAACTGGCGTGTAAACGTCCCGAGCTCCGGGCTTGCTAGTCATTCATCTATTGACAAACTAATTTCATTACGCGAGGGAGGTTTTGTTCACTCGTTGATTGTACGGACGTTCAGTGTCTGATGACTGAGGTATCTTTTATGTGAGAATCGTGTTTGGTGTCTGCACGTGGACTGTGGCTTGGTGCCCAGCTCAATCAACAACTGCTGTAGTTGCTTCAAGACAATGAGTGAGTTTAGTTGTACGCCACTTTTAGCAATATTACAGCCATACCGGAATGGGCTTCACACACCGTATTCATTTGGGGAATAGAACCCGGGCCCTGGCGTGACGAGCGAACGCTTTAACCACTAGGCTACCCCATCGCCCCTGTGCAAACATACTATTTGTATAGTTCAGTTGAACCTGAAGTGGATTTTATTTTCAGTGAATATGATGGGCACGATTGACATTTTTGTCTTAAGCGTCGCAACTCGCAATGCGGCGATATATATCTTGGGTATGGTGTAAACCTATGGTCGTAAGTTCGAATCCGGTTCTCAGCACCAGGCATTCAATCAATCTCTGCCCATTCAATACCTTAATACCAATTCACTCACTGAACCACCCAACCACCCTTCCATCCACTCACTCACCCACTCACGCACCCACTCGACCACCCACTCACATAAACAACCGCCCACTCACTCGACCACCCATCCATTCATTCACTCACCCATCCACTGCCTCTCCGTCCTACTCGGTAGTTGTAATGCGGCTGTAAATGTTTATGTATGGAAGGTTAAAAGGGCCATGTTCCGAGATAATCGGGCTGCTGACATGGTGTTTACAATAATGAAGAGATCAGTCTCCAGACTTAGTAACCATACAACTATCGATGTAGTTAAGGAGGGCCACTAGGGTCATCTCCCACACATAATGACTAGTTATGGAACACCGACAGGGGCATGTTACTCAGATAAGAGGATAATTGGAAGTATTATAACGCTGGTAACATTCATCACGCAGTTTGAGCGTGCGCAGACATTCAGCTCCCGAGATGCAGTGTTTCATGTGTCGGGATGCTCCGGATGAAGTCAGATGTTCAAGGCTCTGACAATATGAGCCGTTCTGTGATCTGTCCCAGTGATTAAGATCACAAACGCCATTCCACATGCATCCCTGCTCAAAACCAAATTAGATTTTTTTTTCACAAATCATCCGAAAGTCTCTCTTTAGACGTCCAGCGGTTCAATCCGCGAGCATACTGAACAACTCGTCTTGTATTTTTATCATTAGAAGGATTCGTTTTTCGTGCTTTTCGACATCAAAATAACAAATTATGAAGAGACAGAACTGCTTTTACATCAACGATCCCCCTTCTGATCATCCGCATCGACAGTGATCACATGAACTCACTGATGTGATCCATTAAGCTGGGTTTAGGTCCGGGCTTCGGATGGGACAGGTTTTCTGTCTCCCTCACGGTAATTGTTCATGTTCGTTAGAATTAGCTATTCTCCGTTTTGTAGAAATCTCCTGAAGTTGAAGTGTTTGATCCCAACTCAAAGACATTGCAAACGAAAACGTGTTAACAGTTCTATTTGCGGACCTTCTTACAGCACACTGTCATCGAGGGTTGGAAAGGGATTTGTTTGGACCAGAAAGCAATGGTATTCGAGTGGTATTCTCATCAGGATGAGACCTTCGGGGCCTGGCTGAGCTCACTCAATGAGTATATACCTAAAAGGTCACACGTCTGGACGTTGACACCGTAACACACAATGTGGGGAACTGGCTGTAATAACTCATTAATTTCCCATACTTACGATATGACTGGTATAATGATAATTTGACCAGTATGTTCCTGATTGTATAACCTATATATTTCAATCAGCGATGATGTGACCAGTATGTTTCTGATAGTACAACCAGTATATTTCAATCAGCGATGATGTGACCAGTATGTGTCCCTGTAACATGTGCCTGGAGCATGTACTAGTTGCGTGGATATATGCGCTATATAAATATTCTATATATTGATGTAACCAGTATATTTCCCTTAGTGGTAACGTGACCACTATGTTTCCTCGGTGATGGTGTGCCCGGTGTATTTCTCTGTAGTGGTGATATCATCCGTGCTGATGATCTATATATCTGTCAGTGGTATCATACCTGGGGTATTTCGATTATTTACCTGACATATATTTCTTTTAGTTGGGATATGACCATCAGCGGCGATATAACTGGGATATTGATAGTTTCAGTGATGGCATGACTCCTGCCGTGATGACATAATGGTATATTTCACTCATTGTAGTGATGTCACCTTGTACTTCCCGGATTTTGGTGATGGCATCACTGGCATATTCCCTTTATGTCAGTGATGCTGTACAATATATTAGTTATTTTTGTGATGATGGAGAACACTTAATTATTTTTTACTTAATACATCAGGCGTCGAGACGGTCATTTATCATCCAAAACTGTGTTCCACAGGAGATATCACTTGTGTGAGATCATATGATATCTCCTAGGAGATATCGTTTTGACAGATTTTGTAAAATGCCCTGACAATGCTATGACGTCACGAACTTGATGACGTCACAATGCTATGACATCGCTGCACTGCAAGTCTAATGGTAGTACAGTGTTCAGAGATGTACATTTTCCATTGAAAACTAAGGAAGAATGATTTTTGATGATAAATAGAATCTCACCCTCGTGTCTACTGATATCAATTATATCAACACTCGTTGATAAAAGTAAAAATATCCTCGGCAAGCCTCGGATATTTGTAACTTTATCAACTTGTGTTGATATAATTGATATCAGTAGACACTTGGGTGAGATTCTCTATATATCTACTGATATGGCACATCTCACTTACAGGTAAAGTGCGTTCATACTGAACTGTCCATATGGATCCACTGCATATCGTGACTTAAACACTGAAATTCTATTAAAAAAGTCGAAATGTCGGAAATAGCTACCCATAGTTTCAACATGTCTCACTCTGCACCACCTCCCCACCGTGCTACGACCTCCACGTGGGCGGCAGCTGAGAATTACATGAAGTGAGACAATCCTTCCACTAGGATACACTTAACGTTACACCAGTATATAATTTATTGCATTTGATCCAGTATGATTTGTTTTTGAGAAACTTCTGGGATGAAATGTCAACATCCACTGTTTCAGTACAAGTCGATATGTTCTGAAATGTTAAAAGCAATCAGTTTGTGCTGGAGATTTGATAAGCGATGACGAACTGCAACAACAGTCAAAGTGTAGTCCCTGACGCCGCCGTGAATATACAAGAATATATTACTGTTTGCGACGAGTTTGATGTGATTTATGTTGGTGATTGACGGCGCTGTATGATGTTTCGGGGCAAATATTAAGTATTTTATTGATGTCATGACCGGTATATATCACATACATTGGTATTGATATGAAGATATAGTTCATCCTTAAACCAATCAGTGTGTGCTGGCGATTTGATAACCGATGCAGTTTTGAACGTATGGAAGACCGAAAGGGCCACAACTGCCAAAGCGTAATCCCTTATGTTACTATAACTATTGGCGATGAACGCTGTGTGTCCGGCAGGGCGATATGAGTCCCTGAACTTATTGATCAGAGAACCAGGAGATAGGTAGGTCATAGATTAATTCACATGAAGACTGTGGGGACCATAAACCGTTACATGGGTTTTACATACTCGCAATGGAAGTAAACGCAACACAACCCGTCCATAAATCATGTACCATTCGGTTATTATGATTGTAGCACGCGCGTTTTCGTTTTTTCTCTGAAGGGGAGTTGTTTCTGTGGGTTTGGCGTTTTCTGGTTTTTTCATCTATCTATATCTCTATCTGTCTATCTATCTATCTATCTATCTATCTATTTTACTATTTATTTGATTATTTAAAGTCTGTGTATGTATTGTTTATGTTCTTACTTTATGAATATTATGATACCAAACAGGTGTTTGTGGGTATGTATGCGGATCTTGCGCAAATGAAATCGCGGCAATACGCATTTAAAGGACTGGCGCATTTTTAAACCAACTGCTACACCGTTATTAAAGGCTGTGATTTGGTTTGGTTCGAGTTACCCTTGTCGAACATCTACAGTTGTCATGTTGTGTTCCAGGAATGGTACGACGAGAGACTGAACTGGAACTCGAGTCTGTACGGCGATATCACCTCCATCAGGATCCCATGTGAGAAAATATGGCTGCCAGACATCGTACTGTACAACAGGTGAGTTGCCTCCCTTTGGAGCAAAGCGATCACGTACACGTGATATCGTACTGGAGACATACTGCTTTACCTCAAACTTGAGAATGGTAAACACGTAAAAACAACATCTTACCGGTGGTGGGCAACTTGGACCAGAAGTAGGGTCTTATTTCTGCACATCTCCCTTTGGGAAACGATGAACGTGTACAGATGACAATGCACAGGAGAAATGACATTCTCTTCCCACAGAGGTTACTTGTCATATCTTCCTACGAACCTCTGTTCTAATGCGGCCATATTTCCCCGTTCTCGTAAAATCCCCATTCGTAACTACTCGCCTCTTTCCGTGACCTACAAGAAGACTCGTACCCCTATCGTACGCCATTATTGCCAAGAATCTTGGCAAACCAATCAAATCGCGCGTAGTAAAACGCATTTCGAAAACGGCTGCACCCTTGAACTTTGAAACTTCGCTAACTATGCAAAGCAGAGTGTAAACATACTTTGAGCTAAAGGATCAGCAACTTTCAACACTGAAACATAAAGGTAATGATATAGCTACAGGATATTCTTGAAGTAACCATGTTTGGAAATACAGAGTTATCTTTCCTTGGTACTAGTAATAGACTATTTTCATCTCCGTGCCCGTTTGCGCTTAGACAGGGCCTAGTCATAAACATGGCCACGAGAGGGGTACGAGACGCCATCCGGCTTGCCGGAATGACGCGAGTAGTTACGAATGGTAAAATACCCTAGCGGCAAAAAATCGCAACACCAATTATCTCCCTTCTTTCTATCCAATCAGAACACGTGTTACATCGACTTAGATCCAGCTTGACTAATGCAAGCAAATATCCCTTCTCTGTCGGGGACTTGTGTTGATGTGACACACAAGGCATTTAATAGCTAGAGGTCCTTGCGAATGATCACTTTTGAAACAACGTCGCTGATTGCACAGCTAAATCTGATTGCAACAAATCACGAATCCTGAACACTCGCACCATGGAAGTGCCGTATTAGAACAGAGGTTCGTAGGGAGATATGACAAGTAACCTCTGTGGGAAAGAGAATGGAGAAATGGCGAGTAGCTAATTAAATGGTAAACACGTAGAAATGACATCGTACTGGGACAGGTGGTGAGATACCGGCTCCTTAAAAACAGTAAATACTTAACACGTCATAGTACTGGAGATACCTTACATTATAAGGTGTGAGTTGACCCTTTTTGACGTCGGCTGACACTCACAAACATCTTAAATTGGAAGTGGAGAGTTACCTTCACTTTAAAGACTTCCAACTCGTTCAGACGATAACTTACTGGTTGGTAGGTTTTATTGTTTTCGGGCGACGTGGGCCAGTGAGAGGCCTATTTGCATAAACCACATATTGGCATAAACCACAAGCTATTACATCGCCAAAGGGAATTGTTTAGATAAGATAAAAGAAACGACAGCACTATTAACATTCATTTGGATAGTACTTAGGACGTGTTAAGTTACCTCCCCTCGTACGACGTTGTGATGCGACCACACGGCACCGCATCTCGGCATTTATAGGCTCCTCCTTGCCCTTGTAGGGTGTTGCTCACATTGATATGGTTTGTTGAGTGGTACTCCTGTAGTCCTGTAGATTCTTATCTAAGCTGGTGACCTACGTCATGTATTAGCCGTGACATATATCCTGGAGAACATGTAGCGTGTGACTCACGTAGCGGTGGCCATGTTGGATGTGGATCAGTCGTTGTGTGAGCCACCTGGTGTCTGTATCGACGTGCGTGTTCACTTGCTGATAATCTGAAGACATCTATTTACAAACTAAGCGGACTTTAGCTTTAGACTATACTCTGCAAATTCACCCTTGGATTTTCAATGTGATCGATTCAGTTCTCACGATTCATGTGTGCCAAGCGATTGAACAACAGGCTTTGGTGTAACCGGACGAAGCGTCCATAAAATGCTTGATTTTAACGGTATGGGGTCGTAGCAGCAACATCCTGTGAGTGATCTGTTTGATTGACATTTAGAAGTTGGTGACTACAAATGATAAGAAAGTAAGATTGTTTATGGATACACCACAGAAAACCCTACTGAAAGCTAATAGCAGGAACACCTCTAAACGACAACATCAACCCAAAGGTGTTGTCTACAAAATCAATTGTGACTGTGGCGAGGCCTATGTACGCGAAACCTCCCGGCCCATAAATATCAGAATCAAAGAACACTTATCATCTACCACTAAATCTGACAGAAAACCAGCACCATCAGACTACATCATCAACTGTCCCAATCACAACATAATTTGGGACAACGTAGAGATATTATCGAAAAACCACCAGGACTTCACCAAAAGAAAACTTGCAGAAGCAGTTCAAATCCGGATACACAAGCCCTCAATCAACAGAGACCAGGGATATCTCATCCCTTCTGCATAAAATGAACTGATAAAAACAACAGATTAGAGCTCTCCAGCTATCATTGCTAATTAATCTCATCAGCCATGTATATTTCGTTTCTGCCTCTAGGACCATTGGCTTCCTCCTATTGTCACTACATTATTACCACCGTGCCTTGTTGTTGTTGTTAATCCCCTTTGATTCATACCTACCTGTTGTTATTACTTAATCCCTGTTCATGTATATAAGTCTGTTCTGTGCTGTAGTACTTCACTCTTGCTTGACAACGGTCTAAGAATCTATACCGAAACGTCGCATCATATATAATAAAAGAAGTTGTTATCCATAAACAATCTTACTTTCTTATCCTGTGAGTGTATACAAAATAATAACGGACCAAAACATATGGACAATAATATTACGTGTGTCGGTGAACCTACGAAAAATAGGTTTTATTCTCTTCTCGGAGTAAACATCAGCTTGTTATGATTTTACGATCGTTAGTTAACGAAAACATTTTAGATATTTTATGCTGTGACGTCTGTTTCAGCGTTGATGATTACACATCCGGGTACATGCCGAGCCTCGCTATGGTGTATAATGACAGCCGGGTGTTCTGGGGGCCGGTTGTCAGGTTCCGCAGCTCGTGCAAGATCGACATCACATTTTTCCCCTTCGACGACCAGCTGTGTAAACTAAAGCTTGGATCGTGGGCCTATAACGGTTTCCAGGTAAAACACCGCCCGTGAAGATCCGGGCTATAATTGGTCTTCAGTAACCCATGCTTGTTGTAAGAGGCGACTAACGGGATCGGGTGGTCGACTCGAACCTACAAGTACCACCTCGTCATATAAAATGTTTACCTGTTATCAGTCGCTGCCACAAGTCCAAAGAACGCCAGAAATTTAAATAGGAATTACAATAAATGAGAATCAAGGACATTATTCAGATACTTTTGTCTTTATTAAGGGTTTGTTTTTGTTTTGTGTTTTGTGTGTGTGTTGTGTGGGTTTTTTTCTGTTTTTGTTTTCCCGACCGACCGATCCATGTTTAGAATTTGGTGGCTACGTGAAACATATAAATAAAACTGACGTCCTCAGCTTCGCAGACTGGACATGTCATCGTTTAATTTCCTAATTTATATTGATCACTGGATTGCCTGGTCCAGACTCAATTATTTACAAACTGCTGTCGTACAGCTGGAATATTGCTGAGTGCGGCGTTAAACAACAACCAGCAAGGTGAAACACATACTGAGTGAGTGAGTTTGGGGGTGGGTGAGTGGTTGTGGGAGTGAGTGGGTTTGGGTTGTGGGTGGATGGATGGGAGCTTGGATGCTTGAGTGAGTGAGTGAGTGAGTAAGTGAGGTTGGCTAACATCATCTGAACTACCTACTACTGACTCATTGTAGATGTATATAATGGTCCCAAGCAAACGGATGCTTGATGTATCATACATAGTGGAAGTGGAAAGCCTGTGTCTTGTTTATCTGACTCAGATGAACACCATTGTATATTTACAAACTGTTCTTACACGATTAAGACACGATTGTTTATGGAACAGATCATTCGAATTTTTGTTCTGTTTTCTACGGAGACTATAGTCTTAAAACAGCTACCTTAATTCATTAAAATTTTGAAAGAACATCTTTTTGCGACTGATTAAAGCATGGTTATAGCATAGTTATTACACATGTTCGACAGTGTAAAATGCAAACTGCGATGCAACACAGTGCAACATACTGTTTCAGGTTGACGTTTGGAATCGATCCGACACCATGGATCTCTCCAACTTCGTCGACAACGGCGAATGGGAACTGATAGGAGTCAAGGTCCAGCGCAACGTCGTGATATACAACTGTTGCGACGAACCCTTCCCGGATGTGACGTTTTACATCCATCTGCGCAGGCGCATCAAGTACTACTTCATGAACATCATCATTCCCTGTATCATATTGTCGTTCCTGTGTCTGGCCGGCTTCCTGCTGCCCCCCGAGAGCGGGGAGAAGATCACCCTCGGGCTCTCAGTCCTCCTCACCATCACCGTCTTCATGCTCATGGTGGCCGACAAGATGCCGCAGACCTCCGAGTCAATATCAGTTATTAGTAAGTCCTCACATCTCCGTGTCAATATTAGTTATTAGTAAGTCCTCACATCTCCGTGTCAATATCAGTTATTAGTAAGTCCTCACACCTCCGTGTCAATATCAGTTATTAGTAAGTCCTCACACCTCCGAGTCAATATCAGTTATTAGTAAATCCTCACACCTCCGAATCAATATCAGTTACATGTATTAGTAAGTCCTCACAACTCCGAGTCAATATCAGTTATTAGTAAGTCCTCACACCTCCGAGTCAATATCAGTCATTAGTAAGTCCTCACACCTCCGAGTCAATATCAGTTATTAGTAAGTCCTCACACCTCCGAGTCAATATCAGTCACAAGTAAGTCCTCACACCTCCGAGTCAATATCAGTCATTAGTAAGTCATCACCTCCGAGTCAATATCAGTCATTAGTAATCCTCACACCTCCGTGTCAATATCAGTTATTAGTAAGTCCTCACATCTCCGTGTCAATATCAGTTATTAGTAAGTCCTCACACCTCCGAGTCAATATCAGTTATTAGTAAGTCCTCACACCTCCGAGTCAATATCAGTTATTAGTAAGTCCTCACACCTCCGAGTCAATATCAGTCACAAGTAAGTCCTCACACCTCCGAGTCAATATCAGTCATTAGTAAGTCATCACCTCCGAGTCAATATCAGTCATAAGTAATCCTCACACCTCCGTGTCAATATCAGTTATTAGTAAATCCTCACACCTCCGAGTCAATATCAGTTATTAGTAAGTCCTCATATCTCCGTGTCAATATCAGTTATTAGTAAGTCCTCACACCCCCGAGTCAATATCATTCATTAGTAAGTCCTCACATCTCCGTGTCAATATCATTCATTAGCAAGTCCTCACACCGCCGAGTCAATATCAGTTATTAGTAAGTCGTCACACCTCCGAGTCAATATCAGTCACAAGTAAATCCTCACACCTCCGAGTCAATAGGGGCGGTGGGGTAGCCTAATGGTTAAAGCCTTGGCTCGTCACGCCGAAGACCCGGGTTCGAATCCCCACATGGGTACAATGTGTGAAGCCCATTTTTGGTGTCCCCCGCCGTGATGTTGCTGGAATATTGCTAAAAGCGGCGTAAAACCAAACTCAGTCAGTCAGTCAGTCCGAGTCAATATCAGTCATTAGTAAGTCCTCACACCTCCGAGTCAATATCGGTCATTAGTAAGTCCTCACCTCCGAGTCAATATAATTCATTAGTAAGTCCTCACACCTCAGAGTCAATATCAGTCATTAGTAAGTCCTCACACCTCAGAGTCAATATCAGTCATTAGTAAATCCTCACACCTCCGAGTCAATATCAGTCACTAGAAAGTTCTCAGACCTTCGAGTCAATATCAGTTATTAGTAAGTCCTCAAACGCCCGCGTCAGTATCAGTCATAAGTAAAACGAGGTAGTGATGGTGGTTCAAATGAAACAACCAGAAACTATTATTCGATGATGATATATTTGATGCGATTATCATATTTGTGGTTTTAAGTTTTGACATTTGATGCGTCAGCAACAGTTTACAATAGAGCAACGTGTTTATAAGTTTGTATTTGGGGTGCTCAAATTCAGCTTTCAAATGTATACTTTCTTCAGACAAGAATCGCTATATAAATATGACATTAGAATCATTATATATGTAATCCCATATGTCATTCCAGGTATATATTTGATGGTTGTCCTGGCAACCAGCTGCCTGTCGGTCTTGTCCTCGGTGCTTGTCCTCGGCATCCACCACCAGCGAGGACAGCCTAAGCACGTGCCGCACTGGCTGAAGATCGTCAGCTTCAGCATCCTTTCACCCGTGCTCTGCATTAAAAAGCCAGCCCAACATGTCAAGAGACGTCGGCAAGCCAACAAGGACAAGAAAACCTCTAAGAAGTGTCGCGTCGCCATGGAAGAACAGGAGTTTGTGAAACTCGACCCACCCAAACCGGATTCTATAGAGCAAATAGAAACGCCACCTATGGAAGCAAGGGGAGGTCAGTCGTTGGAACGTCCCGTGCCAACCGTCATGGAATGTGTGTCGTCAAATAATTATAGTTCTGTAGTGAGACAGCTGATGAACCTCATCCATAAAAAACATCTCGATGAGTTGAAAGAGGACGAGATTTTCCGAGAATGGCGAGACGTTGCCTATGTGCTGGATAGGCTGCTGTTTGTGGTGTTTCTCTTCGCGACAGTCATATCGACCGTCTTCATCCTGGAGATGCGACCCGACACCAAGAAATTCGACTCCATCTGAGACACGTTTTTGTCTTTATGTCGTGTTATTGCAACATGCAATCGTTGCTACAGTGTGTTCTGTCATGAGATGCACCTGAATCAACACGTGGGACATTGGTAATCGAACTCCCTCATTCGGAGCAACTTCGGGAGTTTCCGTGACTCTCCGTACAGGGAGATATATATAATATCACATGGAGATCTTGTGATATATAACTTCACATTCCGTTCATGGTTGTATATGAGAGAGCGTGTATAGTCTAGTCCTGAGTGAGGTGTCGTGAGGTAGTACCCAATCATGAGATTTGGCGTCTAGTTGTCTTTTGAACTATAAATGGTTTGGTGGATGGCATTCTATATACTGTAACCCCGTCAATATGGACAGTGATATTCATCAAATAAAGTTTGGTTTAGGGACCCTCAATGCTAGTAGACTTCGAAAACAAATGTCAGTTTTCACATGAAATGCACACACAGACGGACACGCACGCGCACTCATACACACACGATCACAGAATCATGCATACAAACATTCACACATAAATTATCAGTAATATTTGTATAATTACGTATGAACGTTGTTCCTCAACAATATGTCCGTGAGGCGGGTTTTCTGACACCCAATGGACAACTGTTCTTCAATGTCCTAATGATAACCATTCCAATTATTCATATCATGGGGAGATATGTTTCAGAGCAGCAAGCATGCCATTATGTTGTTTACTGATCCTCACCAGAAAACGCTGTTAATATGTCGGATACAAACTCGTCGCCAGCCGATGTGTCCGGACACCTCTTCCCCAACTCACATAATATGACATATATATCTGATTTTGTTTTATTTAGGTGACGGGAGTAATCTGCTTCCATATTAGGATGAGTCACGTGGTGTCGTCATTTCCGGCACGTGTGTCATGTGTGTATGATGGCTGTATCTAGTAAACTAACCTGGAAAACGTGGGAATTGCATTTGTTATCTCTCAGCGTACATTATAAGTTGTATGCTTCTCTCGAGGGTAATACGGTCTGATGTACACCTCTTTGTAGCAGTGTCACCCGAGCCGGTGTACGTCTCTGTTTACAAAGAGGCGTACATCAGACCGTATTACCCGAGGGAGAAGCATACAACGTATTTAACTTACCGCCATGTTAAATGTGCAGACTATTTTATTTTAATTTAAAGATCGCTAGCGACTATATGACTAAACAAAATGGCGTCTGCCCCTCGACTGGATTTTTTTAATCAGTGAAACATATTCTGTCAAGGTTAACACTGCTATAAAAATGGTTAATTATGTTTAAGTTGAGGTGCAAACGATTCAATGTATAAAATAGTTTAGATAAAGCAGTGAAAGTCGGTAAGAAATCTGTACATAGTCAATTCAAAAACAGCTAATCGAACGGTTTTAGAACTCCGGACACCGCAGGTGTCATATGATGACGTCATACGATTGTAAGCGATACAGCTTCTCGGCGGAGAGTTTAGCGGTTACCGTGGCGGCGGGTAATATTTTTTCCAGTTATCACCCTCCTGGGAGGGGCGACACGGAAACTTGTTAAAGCGTGATTGACCAATGAAATTAAAGTATTTCATATGAAGGTAAGGTAGTTGTCTTTAGAACACCCGTGAAGATCTGTGTTAGAATTGATCTTCAACAACCCAGCAACTAATGGGATCAGATGGTCTGGCTCACTGACTGCATGTAATCGTATCCCAATCGCGTAGATATGTGTTCATGATATCAATCACCTGTCTGGATTGGCGCAGACCCAAGCATCCTTTAATCTGAAATAGCGGCCAAGTTTTTTACCAGGCTTCACCTGATGTAACATCGATCTTGAAACGGTAAAACTTCTGACACTGTCCTGTGAAAATGGTTCAAAGGGCAAAATACTGATGCAACTACTTTTCTGTGAATCATGCTCACACAAAGGGGCGGTTTTACAGAGCGAAGCTTCTTTGTAATGTAAGTGCATGAAACCATGACAACGTGTTTGTCTTCGATCGTCCTCATCTGTAAAAACATCCTGAAATTCTCGTGCCAGAAGATGCTGGCGGAAATGAGGGGCAAAGGACCTTCAGAAGAGAACATGAGACTGTATTGTTGTCAGGGCAACGGGAAAATGAGAGCATGGTTTTACACTGCTTTTAGCAATATTCCAGAATTATCACGTTGGGGGAAATCAGAAACGGACTTCACACATTCTACCCCTGTGGGGAATCGAACCCAGGTTTTCGGCGTGACGAGCCAACTCTTTAACCACTGGGCTACCCCACCGCCCCGGCAACGTTAAAGGCGTGTAACGTTGCAGTCGGTGGACATGCGTTTAAATGCTGCTTTAAGGTTATGCTTGATGCCTATGTCGACAGGGGACATGTATTTAACTATGGTCAAGTTACACTCAGCGTCTCAGTGTTTAGTTGGTAAACCATGTAACAATTACATACAAGTTTCAACAATCGAACCATCGTATGGCAAACGTGTTTATAGTCAAGTTTCAGTACGCATAGAAGACCAGTAAGCATGCACACTTTTATGAGTAATTTACTTATAAGTTCATGAAAGTAAGCTCTCGCACGGTTATTGAGGAACATACAATTAAGTACAAGTTAGATACCACAAATCCGGACTTGAAATGTTTCTTGAACTTGTGTCCTCCTAATATTTTGACTGCAACACGATCACCAACACCAAACATCCTTGACACTCTTTGTGATGTCTGCTCCTGACGATGTAATTTAGCCGACGTATGGGATTCGACACACATATCCCACACCTCTACACAGCTATCCATCTCCTCCCCCACAGAGGACACATCGTCTGACACTAATTGATGAATCAAACTGTTACGACCAAACATAACAAAATAGGGAGCGAAACCCGTGGTACGATTTAACAACGAATTATGTGCTAACACAATTTCTGGCAAAACTCTGTCCCACGTTTTGTCACGCTCTGCTGTTTTCCTGTTTTCACTAAAGAAGTTTTTAATGTTCTGTGAGCTCTTTCAACTGGATTAGCCTGAGGTCTAGCAATCGGAGTATAACTGCATCTAATTCCCCACTTGGAAGTAAACACACAAAACTCGTTTGACGTAAAGACAGTACCATTATCCATATGTAAAACACTGGGTGGACCAAATATGGAAAACAGACGTTCAAGCACTGTTGTTGCACTAGATGTCGTAGCCGTACGAACTGGAAAGACGAAAAACATCCTACTCAAATCATCTAAACATGTAAACACATACAAATAACCACAAGACGAACGTGGAAGTGGGCCAACAAAATCACAATGAAGAACCCCCCAAGGACGCGAAGCAGTAACAGTAACACCTAACGGAGACCTTGGTGTAGCATGTGGACCCTCTATACACACAGTACATTTCTCCACTATTTCAGCTACCTCACGTTGTGTAATTGAAGAATCAACATTTTTTAATGCCACCATTATAAGGTCTTCAGTTGGAGACATCAATGGAAAAAAATCATCTTTTATCTGCTTGTTTAAAGCGCGTAGGTCTAGACAAAATCTCAGATGAATCAGATTTGCGTACCAAAACGATTGGTGATAACACAGTAGAGTCCTGCTCAATCATAGATTGTGTCTGTTTGTCGATAATGTCATAAATATGGGGAACGAACTGCCGTTGACCATGTCGCACGTGACCGAGATCAGCATCATCTTTAAGGTTCAGTTCATAGGTAAAGTCTTCCACAAACCTAACCCACAAAATATGTTTTTCTCATATTGCCTCAACAAACTGTATCATTGTGACTTGTGTTCACTGTCAATAGGACCGATATTCCAATTTGTGGAACTAAAAAAAGCGAGGAAACATTCACAGGCTGATTGCCGACAATGTTAGTCGCCGGGCCTACTGTCTGACACCTATAAAGACGCTTGCTGACAACATCGGGATTCATAACGGCAACATAAGCATCATCAGTTCCAAAAAACAGATCTACCAACTATCAACCCAGTCCTAGATTCAATGTTTTTCTATCATCACATGTTCGGCCACAGTATTTGACTGACTAATAGCTACTCTCAAGATTGACTTCTTGGTGGAATAGTAGTACTTTCAGCAATATGAACCCTGTGTACACTTTCATCAGTAACTAGATGTCTAAAGTCCGCTGACTATTCCTTTGGCTTGATGACTATTTCCTCAAACCTACACATAAAGTCCCATCCTAGCAACAAATGGTCATCACGAACATCTAACACATGGAATCTACAATCATGGATTTCACCACTGATCTGTATAGTTGTATCGAACACACCGATAACGCACAAAGAACCTGACAGATCAGTTAATTTAGATTTTGTCTCTTCAAGACAAACACCATTTGGAAAAGCCCCGCAAAGACACACTTATGCACGAGACGCTAGCTCCACTATCTATGATTGCAGCGAAAGACTCGCAACCAAGGCGGATTTGTGTGGTTGGTGAATTTTGAGGGAAAGTTACTGTTGGTGTCTGAAGAAACAATGTACATGTGATTTATCTGGACATTTAGTCGCAATATGTCCATATTTTCGACAGTTGTAACACCGAATGTTTCTGTACTTTGTCATATCACTCGACTCTGTATCACGACATTCAGCTGCTGACTTTACGGATCAAAACTTTGCCACGACTATTTGATGAACCTAAATCACGTTTCTTTTGAAACACCGTCGCTCTTTATGACCTGGCTTCTTGCAAAAATTGCACTTGATAAGAAACACAGACTTATCACTGTCCTCACACAGAGAACCCGCAAGACGTCTAGCCAGGCCTACAAGACCATCAAATTTGGGAGATTTAGATTGTTGACAAATGTCAATGTTGAGTTGTTCTCTCAATTTCTTACTTGACAAGCCATCAAACAATCTTTGAGCACAGAGTTCATTTTTGTTTGTTTTTGCGAATGAGGGGTATGCTTCATCAACCTTGACCTGAAGACGGTGAGCGAAATCATCAATGGATTCATGGGGTTTTTGACACATGTCTCTGAACTCCCTAGCAGCAGTTTGAGTACGCTCTTGGATTCCATCAAGGTCCTTAATCAAAGCGGCTTTCACACTTGCATAATCAGTTTTGTTTTCATCCGAAATATCGTTGAATACTCGTGAGCAAAACCCTGCAGGAAGTACTAAAGCTAAGCCACGTAACTTTTTATCAGAGTTCCAGTTTAGGCCCCAAGCTTTCACTTCATACACATTTTCAATAAAGTTCGCAAAAGTTGACCGTTTCGGATCAAACAGAGGAATTTTGGAATGCTTGATATCGCCAGAATGTTCTGACTTGTACCACCTTCAGCCATGATGGAATCAAGACTCTGAGTATTCTTGCTTAAATGTTCAATGTCATTCACACAGAAGACGAAACAGTTCAACCACAAGGTCAAAATGGCAAAATGGGACAAACTCACGTTACAGTTCGATGAAATTTGCACTTCCTTCAAAGTCCTTCCATGTGTCCACACTATCCCACCTCTGCCACCATTGTAAGGTCTTCAGGCCCACATAACACGCAACACAGATGTACAAATAAGAGACGTTTACTTGACGAAGACAAAGACGAGACTGAATACAATTGAGAAACAATCACACATCCCAGTTTATGAGTCCAAGTGCAGGCGCACGCTATTGTTGATGATGGTTGCGTTTATGCGATGCTGTCCAAATACCGGGAACAACCTCACAGCACACAGAAAAATAAACACTGGTACGCATGCATGTTTAGTGCAAACGTAAATATGTAAGTGTAAATATGTATGCACACATTAGCACTGGTAAGCAAGCAAACGTTTGCAATACTAACGTGATACGATACTGAAGGGACAAACATTTTCACTTAAATACCATAACTATTCACACTCCCTTATATACTGGCCACATAAAGAAACTGTGCACACAGAAAATATAAATATAGGCCCACAGCGTATTTATACATAAATACATTTGTGA